ATCCAGGTATGTTGAACGCAGATAACCTTTTCTCGATCAAGCGGCAAGACGTGACACCGAGTGGCCAAAGCAATGGCGAAGTGATGAGGCTTATGATTAGCCTCCTCACTTCACCATTGATTTGGGTTCCACTTAAGAGAATCGCTACCAGGCTGACCAGTTCAACGCAAGGTATCGCAAAAGCCTTTTCAAAACGTCAGCTACGATGGTGACGGTTGTGGCGGAGAATTACAGATGTGTTTTGGTATCTCAAGCTCGACAAGATACAAGGCGACTATCTCGACCATTTAATATTTCTCTTGTGGCGCAATTTGTCGAGGCAACCGTACACAAGGACCAAGTTACTAGCAAAATATTCGTCACCATGCTTCGTAAGCTCGAAGATGATGCTACTCTTGCTTCTAGAGGCGCCAACTGACAATCGACAGGATCGGCGGCGTCATCTGCTTGGACCTTAAGGGCCCAATGACGCCGCAGGATCGCCTCGGCAATCGATATTTGGTCAATTCATAAACTATAAGTCGAACTACTGCAGTGTGTTCCTCGCGCGCCAGAATGACGCGGCGTCGAAGACGTTTGAAGCGTTTCTCTTCCACTTTTATAAGCTCTTCCTTTGTAAAAGTCAAGTGCTGCGAGGGATGGCGGTGGCGAGTACGCCAACGATGACTTGTTCTGCAAGCGCACAGATGTCGTGCGCCAAGTTTCGGAAGCGCGCATCCAGGCATCATGTGGCAAGGCAGAGAGGATCAACTGGACGGTGCTAAAAAACATCGCACGCAGCATGATGTTCGCGTGCGCGCTGCCTTTGCAGTTCTGGGGTGACGCGGTGCAGTACGCCGTCTACATCTTGAATCGAAGTCCACGCGAGCGAACGCGAAGAGAGCGTCGCCTATCGAGGTGCGGACGGGAAAGGCACCGGACCTGCGGAGCATCGCCGTCTTCGGATCGTCGTGTAGCGCTATCGCGACCTGTGCAAGAGCTCGCTGCAGCAGCGATCGAAGACTGGCATCATCGTGGGCATGATCGAGGAGACGAAAGGGTACAAAGTCCTCCTCAAGCAAGAGAACAAGGTGGTCTTTAAACAACACTTGAAGAACATATCTACGCTGTCCAATGTGCAAAATGCACAACAGGAGCGCGCGATGAAGGTAGGCGATCGAGACGACGAAGCGGAAGGGACAGCGCCAACGGTAGAGGCTGCAGTGGCGATCTGCGACGAAAAATGGAGCAGCGCAAGATGGTGGAGGTGCTCGCAAGAAGACCAAGAATCCGTGGACACGACAAGCGCACAAGACACGCAGCGCATCGAATTGCGAGCAATCAGCTGCACTTTAGGAGGGCGAGATGCGAGCGATGAGGTGGTTATCGTATTTCTTAAGCGCGATCCACACAACTATGGAGAGGCCATGCGCAGCACGAAGCGCGAGAAATGACAGACATCTATGCAAGAGGAGATCGCCGCGCTCAAGAGCAACGACGTGTGGCGCGCCACGAAGCGCAGCCCGAGTGTGAACGCTTTCCACTCTAAGGGGTCTTTAAGACCAAGACGGGAGCCCACGGAGAGCTCGAGCGATACTTTTCGAGGCTTGTAGTATGCGGCAATGAGCAAGTGCTCGACATCGATGACAATCGGACCTTTGCCGCTGTGATGGACATCTCAACGGTAAAGTTCGTGCTGGCGCTCACAGCGACGTGGGGCAGGCCCGCCAAGCACGGAGACATCCCGAACGCATACGTGCGTGCCGAGAAGGAAGCACACCTCTAAATCTGCTTGCAGGTGCCACACGGTATGGCACGTGTCGGAGAGAACTCTGCGCGACATCGGTGCTACGCATCCAGGCGAGGTCGTCTTAGAGCTGAGGAGAAGCCTGTACGGGATGAAGCAAGCCGGGCGCCTCTGGAGACAGTACTCCATGCGCGACTCAGAAATGCAGGGTACATGCGCTGCTTATCAGGCATGTGTCTGTACCACAAGTGCGACGGCGGTGAGCTGGTCGTCGAGGCGCAGTTTCGAGGCCATAGCCGCGATTAGTTCATGTTTCGTGTACCCAGCTTTTCAGGAAGACGAAAACAGATTTTGTACCCAGCGGAAGCATAAGGATAAACCACCGTTTAAAAACGTGCTTTTAAATAGTGTGGTGGCCACTATCTTGTTGAGCTTCGAACGATAAAAAAGCTTCTACGAATTTAAACCATTTTCCACCACTGCGCAATTGAAACTCGTTCAGAGGTTTGTGTCCCCCATCAAGTCAACACCGCGTTCGGCTTCCTTGCTTCGACTGCGTGTTTCGCGTCTGCTTACGCCTCGAGACATGACACGCACGACATGCGCTTCTTGCTGGTCAGTAGAATACCTGACGAAGGATAGCGCGCCATACGCAAGATCGTATAGAGCGCTAGGTGGCCGAGTTGCTGGTGTCAGTGCAGCAGAGAGGCTTCATGCACGCCGTCTGCATCAGCATCCATCGCACGTGCTTCAAGCGCGGCCATAATCGCCTCTTTAGCGCTGTGCCTCCCGCGTGTCTCTGTCGTCTCAACGCACAGCCCGTTGCTGTCAATCGCGACGTCGAACACGACTGTACCGTCGCTGCGCCGCTCTAGCGCGCGTTTGTTGCCGTCGTACATAAAGGCAAACCCTTTGCTCTCCAGCTTCCCGTACGAGACGATGTTCTTCGCCAGACGCGGCGCACGCCAACTCCATAGCGTAATGCAAATAGTCGGACCGCGTCGGGTCGTACTTCGCCCGCACGACATTCAGTCAGCTCAGGTGACACGTGTTGCACGATGTTTTCGAGCACAAGCGAAACGACGCCACCGCGCGCTCGATGACGGCTACCATGTAAAGAAAGTGCTCGGCCCAGGTGCGTCGCGCTTCTTTCTTTGCCTTAAACATCTTCATGGCCTGCCTCGCCGTGATCTTCGTCTTGAACGTTAGGTGCAGCTGCTTCATGACGTGTTCGATTCTTGGCTGCTTCACATATTAATTGTCGATCTGTTTGTGATAAAAGCGCTTCGAAGTACCGGCCAAGGAGTGGCCAAGGTGGTCAACCTTCACTTCCTCCGTCCACGAAAAGTACATGACGCTTCAGCGAGGATCACGGCGCGCATGAAGGTGCGTTTCCATTCAAAGAACTTGCATCGAAGAACCTGCTCCCGAGACCTTTGTAGAGCTCCGTCCCATCGAACTTGCGAGTGTTGAGTCTTGGCTGACTCGTGGTCCGCATTCCGTAGTTGCCTATCCTTCCGCCGTGTGCGTTGAAGGTGGCGGCACTTCTTGACGCGCGCGGCGATGGGGCTCGGCTGCTCGTGCCGGCATGCGATGCTAAGCTAACGGCTGTCCGCGCGGCGGCGCGAGCGAAGCGAAGATCGACTTGCCGTCAACGAGCGCGCGCGAGGTGCTTCTGGTTTCTTTTCCAGCAGCCCAAGCGCGTTTATGGTCATGGGGCGTCCACGCATGTTCGCTCTAAGCTTGGACGCAAACATGCCACTCTTGACAGCTCCAAGCATCCTCTCGTCTTCGTCCCGGACGCGCTGCGAAGACTCGAGCTTCGCCAGGCGTTCGGTCACTGCGGCGAGGGCCGCGAGGATCTTGTCATCGGTCGCCTCGCCCCTTTTGCGGGCGGACGGTTCTTCGACGGCTACTGGCGTGTTCACCGATGAGGGCACACGAACTGGCTAGCCACGCCCTGGCACAGCTCGTGGGACACCTTCTGGTGTCTTGGTGGTCGCATCAGTTTCTCTATACATTGGGCTCATAAAATGTTGGTAAGCAAGCCTGTTGTAGTAGGAAGACGATAAGATTATGTATATTGATTGCTTTGTTTTTGTCTACCTGTCTCCTATCCACTATTTCTCCAAACACTCTGTACTCCAACCAAGATTATTGATAGTCAACTTGTCTACCACCCACTTGCACTTACCATCCATGATCAGATAACGGCTGGTACTAATCGCAACTCACAATCTTTAACCTCAGCTTCAAACAGCAGCTGTAACAGGGCATCTAGTTACACGTAAACATTAAGTAATATACTTAATGTTTGGTCTAAAAGTATCCATGATTATTTTTGACCTGTCACTTGGGTGCGATACACAAACGTGATCCACCCTCGTGAATGTGATATCCATTTATGGATTCACATGAGAAGGGATGACGCTAGTTGAAGCTAGGCATCGCGACGTCTCAGAAGGACGTCAGTCGCAAGTTTAAATCTAGATTTAAATTCATGCGACAGGATACGCTTCTAAAGAGTCGCGTATCCGATCTATATACATATATAGCCAATCAGTAGTTAAATATATATTTAATTATAATTCATTAAATATAGCTCAGTCTTGAATTTGCTAAATCGAAAGCACCGCGCACGAGAAGTTGAAAGCTTCTGCATGACGCCGGTGACTTCTTGTTTTAGAAGTTCGTTGCACTCTCGCTTAAGCGAGAGGCAACTGGTGGTACGATTGCTTAAGCAGTCGACCAACCGCATAACCACCCTCGCACGCGAAGGTAAGACGGTCTAACCGCTTCCTCGCTTGTGCTGAAATTGTGTGCTAGTAGCACGAGGCAACTTCGTAGAAGTGCCCGTCTACAGCAGCAAATGCAACAAGTGAGTACGGGCTACAATATTCACTGCATCTCCCCTAAACGTACATTGGCACGCACAATCACTCGCTCTTCATCAGTCTGTTATCGTGTCGATCCTACTTTAGCTCAACTAGCAAATCGTATCAAGCTACGCTATCTTGCGCTTGCTTGCAGCAGGACACGACAGCGACAGAAACAATATAGCTGCATTGCTCTCTGTGTGTGATTTTATCCTACTTCTACTAAAATGTTTATTCCTCGTCATACTCACCACCTTTGTTCTATGTAATGCTTGGTAACAACAATGTTCCAGCCACTAGTAAAGCCACAAATGGCTGGAACTTGAAAACGTTAAGCATACTGTCGCCGACATCACTTGATTGTAGCAAGGGAGTCTCATGTATTGACAAGCCCGCAATTACCGTAAAAACGCAACTCGCTTTAAAATTGCATCCGTATCACGTGGCATGCGCATTGAGACGAAATCCCCACGAGCCACAGCCGCATCAACTGCGAGGCGATCGATACCGTCCTCAGCCACTAAACTTGCAAGCAGGAGGTCATCCTCAGGAGACCACATGCTTAATGGCATTGCGCCTTTCAAAAAGTTTTCAGCTACTTTTGCGTCGCCGCTACAATAGTACAATGCATGGACTACTGTCAGCATGTCTTGGTGCGTTCTAAATTGTAGATCGCAGATAATTTGATCAGTGTCTTTATCTGTAGCATGCTCCACCGTCTTCAGTTGCTGTGAGCCTTCTTCCAATTGAGCTGCTGTAGAGACGCCAACGTCAATTGGATGGGTGACTGCGAGCCCAATGCTGCTTGCTTGGGCTTCTGCTGGAACAGGTACCAAGGAAGGCTCAAAGAACCTTTGCAGTTTTCGTCTCTTCGCATAGTCTCTGGCCAACTCGGTCCAGGTACTGTGGAAAAAGACGCCGTTATTTTTACCAGTCTTGCTCTCAACACTGTCGGCATCACTACCCTCCGTGCCTTGGCGCAATAGGCTGGACTCACCGCTGATAGCGGCCTCGCTGCTTGGGGTAATGCGCTTGCGTTTTTGCTGCTTTCTATCTGCACTTTGGTCACCTGTCTCTAAGTCTTCTGGGGTGGCTTGAACAATCGGAACCTCTAATGCCGCTGGGACAACTGGCATAGCTGGAGGAGGTCGAGTTAGAGATGCAGCTAGGGTGGGAGACGTGATGCCTCCAGATAACTCTTCACTTTTTTGGAGACTCTGAAAGATTCTCAACGGAGACGTGGGCTTCCTGGACCGGGTCCTCACGTCTCTTCGGCTACATTTCTTCTCTCCTCGACCCTCAAATTGGAGCGCGTCATATGTCATAGATCGACTATTGCAACCTGTAGCAATTAAAGTATGTCGTGACGCATGTGTTGACGTCACTGACTCCTGAGGCGCGACATTTTGTATTCCCGTCGAGTTAAGATCAGACTGCATTTCTTCTGTCACTTTTTCCTCTTGTGCTGCTCCTTCTTGCTCCAGCATCCACTCTCTTGTTAACGCCTACCAATTTAACCACAAGAGTCTCGAAAAAAAGTCAGTCTCGTATCGTCACGATAAGTAGCAACCTGTCTCTTCCTACCGCAGCCTTTGTCATGATGCTACGCTGTTCAATCAGTGTCTTCCGCTGCAGCTGTTTCCTAAAATGCTCATGCATGCTCTGAGCTGAGTGAAACGTCACTTTCTCCTTTTCTGCTCTTCTCCACACGCTCTCTGCTAATGGCTGCATGGATCTCCACCCTCTTAATTTGGCAAAGTGCATCATTCTAGCATCGTCTATCACCGTATATTTCCTTCTTCCTTGTCGTTTAGCATCTTGATTGTTCTTTTCAATTGTAAATATATTGCCAGAGTATTGCAATGGATTTTGTCGCGACTCCAACGCGATCGATTGTTTAACAAAGTCCGTCGAGATCCACTCTGGATGTCTTGCATCCAGCGTCTCATTGTTTACAAGCTGCATCGCACCTGCAGGTGTAATCGACACGACGCCCCCATTACTTTCAATAAGATGCGTAAGCTCTGCTTTTTCTTCAGTCGAGAGCATGCGGGACATGTAGAACCGCAGCTCGTGGAATAGCGGCGGCATTCTGGATGGCTTGAAAAATAGGGTCTCAGATAGGGGTTTGCGGTCTAAAACTCTAAAATGTCATATATTAGGGATTTCGGTGTAGGGGTATAACATATCACGATATCTTATTAGTACCTTAATGCTAAATCGCACATCCTGCCAGATCATAGTACCACCTTTTCCAAGGGGTAAGTGGACAGTATCAAGCACTTTGAAATATCGCAGTTAAAAGCGAAGCCGTGATCTTGCACTGTAATACGAGGCATAAAGCTGCATTGTATGAAAAGAAAGAGAATAACGAAGTTACAACTAAAAGTAACAAAGTATCTACTTTTTTGCGATGCTTTGCATGGCATCCTTGCATAATGTTTTCGATTGCTTCCATGTAGCTAATTTCTCTAGAACGGGAAGAAAACAAAGGTGTCCAACAGAAGATTCTAGCGCAAAGTAGAAATGACAACTTCAAGTATAGGCGGCCATTCGACTTGGGTGTAAGGCAGCAATTGAGACATAGAGCTACACACTTCCAGAAGAGCATTTTTCTTATCCAGTGATTCAAAGTAAACATACGAATTACTGTTCAAGCATGTAGCAGCTAGTATACTTTGCAGCCATTACACATGTATTGCAGTTGCAGCTCTCCCACCTTTGCCTTCGCTATCGTTCACCCCAGAAACAAATACAAGCAAACATCATTGATTGATTGAGGCTTTTTCAAGACCAAACAAAGAACAACCAGTGCTTAAATGTCTCTTCACACGGTGTCGTATATCTGCATGTCTTCTACATTTTGGCTGGTTGTAGCATTGATCTACAAGTTGCAGCAACTTGTGCGTTAAAAGTTGATAGATATGACAAATTTTTGCTTAAAACAGGTAAATCCAGCGCCTTGTTTATGGTTAACCATCTTAGGTGTCTGACTCTCCCAAAAACTATTGTCAAACCTTATACGTTTTGATCATGCTATTTACGGCATAAACTATTATCCTATCACCTGTGTAAATGAATCTACCTGTAATACTATAATATCGATACATGCTAGAGCTAGTCGCAACAATACCACAGAATACGCACTCTATCGCAGTCGTAAACGCTCTTGATTCTCCTTTTCTCTCTGTCCATAATGAGTCGATTAGTGGTCTCTATCGGTCACGTCGAGTTCACAGGAGACAGTCAAGTACTTTATGTTATTAAAGTACAACAAGATATTGACGAGTGGGAGGTACATCGCACGTATTCGGACTTTCGCAAATTACGGGACGATGTACACCATGTGATGAAGGACACCCATGCCTATATGCGGGACGATACGTGCTCCCGGGACTTTACACGGGAGCTACAGGACATGAAGTTTCCAGCCAAGCGGCTTTTTGGTAGTAAAAAGGATCATGTCGTCAAGGAACGGGCTGAAGAGCTGCATCGCTTCCTTATTAAACTGCTTTTTCTTACGCACACGTACCGCAAAGCACAAAAGACACGGTACGATCAATACAAGCAGGGCTTACCGGACTATGAACAGACAAGTGTTGCAACACTGCAGAACCGCACACAAGCCAGTGTCATAGTGTTTTACTTACTGCGAGACTTTTTAAAACCCGCTGGGGTTAAGACAGACATGTCGTCGCAGTCGGGAGAATTGTTGAGTTCCTCTGGACATGGAATTATTTCAGAGGCAGCAGATGGAAAGAACGGGAAATCATCGAATAGGTTGATTCGAGAGAGTAAAATCTTGGCCATGACCAGCTTTAATACGAGCGAACTCAAGAATCTGATGTCTCGAGAAGGAAAAAAGATGCGGCAGCATAAACACAGAGACCTACAGGTGGAAGAGTTACGGAAAGACCAGCACAAGTACCAGCACGAACAGCGGCAGAGTCCCATGGTACTGCCAAAGGAACTCAAGAATGAAGCGACTAACTCTACTAACGACAACTGTGGCTCAACGCGTCGTAAGGAATGCGACATTCGTAGAAACACCTCGAAGACAATGATGGAAACGTCCGGGCATTCACGGTCTGAAGCCAGCACGCTTTGTGAACCGCACATGCACAAACATCAGTTCTTGGTAAATGAGCACCGGAAACAACGAAATTACTCGACGCCGGATGGCAATGCAGCGGATTGGAAGCACCGCTCGGCGCGCGCCAGTCCATCTATATCGACGTCCAGTGCTGTAGGTTTGTCTCCACGTGAGGACTCGTTAACGGAAATGGAGAAGATGAGTGCGTCTTCGTCTGTGCCATCATCGGCGTCGTCTGCAACATCTGCAGATGAAGTGAAGCTTTTGGATTTGTCTTCGATGTCCCAGTGTAAAAGGAAAAAGAGCTCGCGAGGAGACAGCAACAAGATACATTCGTCTGAAAAAACTTGGAGCAAGGAATCGACTTCGACGGCACGTAGTAAGGAACAAAAGAGTTCCTCACGCACAAAGAGGAAAGGATTGCCCGCAAAGAACATGCTTATGAGTGAATCGGAAACGATGTCTCGTGTTAGCTCAGTTTTGAATGCTCAGGCCATCTCAATCGATGCACAGCGGGAACTAGAGAGATATCTGTCCGAGTACAGCGCCATTATGATATTGCGCTACGTCGACCGGTTTGTCAACAAAGCTGTGATGAAAGCGCCGGGTTGCTATCACGTAAATGCACAGGACTGGCTAGTCATCGACGGAAAGCGTTTTCTTGAAGAGCTAGAATTAACTTTCACAGACTTACCAAACAACTTTGGTGAGCTTTTCCACATTGGTGCACTAGGCGACCACGACGAATGGGGCTTGCCTTTGGCGCTCAACAAGTATGTGCAGTTGAAGTGGGAATCGTTCCAGACAATGATCAGCAACAGCATCAGCCCCGATCATGGACACAGCAGTGCTGCTGATCTAACATCTGACTCGGATGATTCGGACTCGGATTACGACTACGAGGAGGTCGGCGGTGGTGGCTACATGAAGGCAAAGCAAACGTTTTCGAACGATGAAGAGTCGATGCTGCAGGAGATGATTGCCAACGGCACGGCAGGACGTGAGCAGATGCTTCGGCTACGACGTCACATGAACGAGCAGGGTTGGAATCGGCGCGAAAACCCCGGGTCTCGATCTCAACGCCTGATCGAGGAGACATCTGACACGGACAAAGAAGACACCATAGCCCAACGGCGAGAAAAGCGTAGCTCGAAACGGTATGACCCGAAGAGGGTATCTTGTGACGTGGAAAAGTACCAGCAGATGCAAAATTCACGACGTAAAGACCGTCTCAGTCGAGTGCAGAGTATTGGTGGCTTCGTGTAAATTACGCTGGAACAGCGAACAGAAGTAAGAAGTGAAGTCACTGGATAGAGAGAGAAAGAGGCGTACACCCTGATCCAGTCGACACGTACCAAGTGTAGTAACAATCATGAATACGTCAGTATATTTTATTGTTTGTGTTCTCCTTGCTCGTTGCGTTGCTCGTGAGCGTTCAGTGAAGTACGCTAGACAATCGTAGGACTAGATAATAAAAAAATGCACAAGATGCTTTGTGTCAATTATCTCGGCTATGTTTTTGCTGTATACCGGGTAAGCCGATCGATGACGGCGATAGATCCCAATATTGCCTCTAGTGAATGTCGCCTGTTAAAGTCTTTGATACACATATGAGTTACGCTTCAGCGATTGTGCGTACTCCTTACAAAGTTTTCTTGCCGTGTGTGGACTTCTTGATAGGCACGAATGTCAGCAGTAAGTAGCAGATCACGAGGCCAACGTGGCCACAAAAACGCATGGAGCGAAACCCTGCAACGGCCTCTTCCCACGATAGCACCACAAACGATACAGCCAGGTAGTTTACAACCATCGCTGTGCAAATCATACCGACGAGGTCGTAGAGTGGCTTGATAGCACTGTTTACCAAGTAAGGGCGAACGTGACGTCGAGCTAAGCGATTCACAGACGTAGCCAATGCCACTGTGAGGAAGAAGAGATAGTACCCCGGGTAGAATCCGTGCCACAGAGCCGAAACGGTGTACGTGGCGAGCAACGAGTTACCCGTGCGGGTGTACACATAGCGTTCGAGCCAATTCTGCGTGCCCTTGTTCCAAGCCCGTGATATGTCTCGAACATTGGCACCGAGTTCAAAGCCCAAAATGTCGACGTTGCTGACTCCGTCCCATCCCTTGGGGTTGTTTTGCTCGTCAAACCCTTCGAAACCAGTACCAGTGAGCACTGTGGCTCCTTCTGCCAGTTTCCAAGCCCCGTAGTACTTGGCTCGGGTAAGGAATAGTGCGATGAAAAGCCGACCACACCTCATCAGCATAGACTGGTTTTCGTCACTCAGAATCTCCTTCAAGTCCGCAAGAGCTCCAAAGTGCACGAGTAGTACCAATAGACCTAGTCCCAGTAGTAACTTCGATACGGCAGCCCGGGTAGGAGACACATTCCGTCGGACACCATTCTTATCCACGAACCGAGTCTGATGAATAGCGTCGCTATACTCTTTGTACTCGAAAGCCGGACCTGCTAGGAACGTCGTGAAGCAGTAGACAAATCCCAGAAATTCCAAGAGCGATGGGATTTGAGGAATAGCGAATTTTTTTCGTGACTGTTTGACTCGTTTCGTGTGGTCCGAGTCTCCCTCTATCACCGTTGTGATACTACTGATTGTACCGTCGTGATAGTTGAAGGCAAAGCTTGTCAACTTGATGAGCAATAGCATCTGACTGCCCGTAGCATCCATACTCCAGCCCATATAATTGACCCGCATGCGGTGGATATGCAACGCCGCTATGTACATCATATTGGCAAGGAACACTATGAACGGAGCACGCTTGGGAGGCAGCACACATACTAGTGCGTACGTGAGCAGAGACGACAGCAGCGAGTGTAGCCATCCAACGCCATACACGAACTGTGCAATACTTACACCTGCACAAATGTGGAGCCAGTGCTTGGCTGTGACAGACGGCAGCTTCCGGACTATGATAGCCAATGGATAGACAGCCAAGAGGCAAGTGACATATCGAAGTTGGTCTACAGGAACCCCAATGAAGTCGGAAAGATGAGAGAGCTGTTCGTTCACTATTGTGAAACGAAGTGGTGTAGCGACTTCACTCAATGATGCTAAAGAAGCCATTGGGATGCACAGAGAGGAAGCAGGAATGAAGGAAAGAAATTGGTGGAGGATAGTAAGCAAGGAGGTTTTGATTTCATCTGCGACGTGTGTTGATGACGCTTTAGGATGATACAATTCATACGACATAAAAGATGTGAAGGGTTGAAAAGCGATTGACATGTTGAAGTGCTTGCAATGCGTGACTTGCAAGAATTTTTACTCAAAGAATAATGTTTCAAGTGTTTTTCTTTGCAGTACTTTTGTCAATTTACATGGTATGGGGTTGAAGCCATTCGCTCTTTGAATGCATAAGGCTTCGGTTTGAATTTGCGAAGAAGACCTCAATTGCCGGGATTATATATGACGTAGGTCGGACAACACAGTTGATGTAATCCGCCTAAACAAAATGATACTGTAAAATATCGGTATGATCGGTATCAAAGCGGGCTTCCATTCTTATAAATTTCTTGAGGATATTTCGTATCAAAGCAACGGTACAGTGTACCATGTATCCATTTGTCTTCTAAGCGTAGCTGCTCACCACAGATTGTCGTGTCATCATTCCCAGATCAGTCGCTTTCGAGTGCGATGGGTTCTATCGTCGATATCGTGGACCGATTGCAGCCATACGCAGAGCTAATTACTCCACTAGACTTTAGTTTTTTACATGGCCACGTTAACAATCTGTCGGCTTCTATAGGTCTCGGCAGTGATCAGCTCCGCTATGTCTTGTGTCTCTTTGCTGCATACCCACTTGCTGTCGTGTACAAGCTGCTACCGAACGCCAGTCTCAAGCACATGATGGATGTAGCTGTGGGTCTCTCTATGGCTCAGTTCGTACTGGGTTCAGGCTGGATCCATTCGTTTATCTCGAGCTTTTTGACGTATCTATTGGTCAAATTCGGACCACCAAAACATGCACCAAGTATCGTGTTTCTCTTCAATATGCTATACATGTCGGCATCACATATCTACCGTCTTTATGTGAACTACATGGGCTGGACACTGGACTTTACGGGGCCTCAGATGCTGCTGGTTATTAAGCTCACGAGTTTTGCTTACAATTACTATGATGGTGTGGTGGACAAGACCTTTGAAAAGAAGGGTGACGGAATGTCTCCTAGCAAAAAGAAAGTGTACGAAAGCCGCCAAAAGCTTGCAATCCAAGAGATTCCGAGCTTGTTAGAGTTTTTTGGATACGTCTACAGCTTTACGACATTCTTAGCTGGACCGGCCTTTGAGATCCGCGAGTACTTGGACGTTACCACTGGCAAGAAATTCCTTCTAAATGGAAAGAACAAACAGCCGTCTAGTGTACTGGCTGCCTTCTCCAAATTCTTAGTGGGCTCACTGCTTATGGCAGCGTTTGCCGTGTACGGACCTATGTACCCGCTGTCAAACCTGCATGATCCTAAGGTTGCGAATCTCCCGATACTGCTTCAGATCTGGAAATTGTACATTACGCTCATCTTTTGTAAGGCCAAGTACTACTCCGCCTGGAAGGTGAGTGATGTCTGTACGGGTGAAAGATATCGTAGACAATGATATTGACAATATGCTCTTCTCTTTGGACAGATTGCAGAAGGTGCTACAGTACTGTGTGGCTTCGGTTTCGAGGGCTTCAGCAAGGATGGCTCTAGCCTTGGCTGGAACGGTGTAAGCAACATGGACATTCTGGGCTTTGAATTCTCGCAGAGTATTCGCGCTGCTTCTCGAGCATGGAACAAGGGCACCCAAAACTGGCTGGAGCGTTATGTGTACACTCGCACGGGCAACTCTCTCATGGCCACGTACTTCATCTCGGCCTTCTGGCACGGCTTTTACCCAGGCTACTACCTGTTCTTTATGAGTCGTAAGTGACTGTCTGGTACAACAATATGAGCTGCAAGATCTAATGAGTCGTTCCTTTCGTGTGTTGCAGTGCCGCTAGCTACGGCTGTGAACCGCTTGGCTTTCAAACGTCTTCGTCCGCACTTTATTGAGGCTGATGGATCGTTTGGAATTAAGAAGACGATTTATGACATTTTGAGCTACCTGATGACGCTATTCGGAATGCATTACTTTGTGATGCCTTTCCAGGTATTTGCTACGCACATGAATACTGTGGTTCTTTGTCTTTGAAGAGTTAACAATTTTATATATCGTTTTGCTCCGTGTGAATCGCAGGCGATGTCGTGGGAGAATTCGCTGGTCTCGCTGAAGAACACTTACTTTGTCGGACACGTTGCTGCTATCGTGCTTTACGTCGTCTTTTCCGCCCTCCCGACACCGAAGCCCAAAACGAAAACCAATTAGAATGGTGGAAAGCGAAAGAGATAGCAGTAAAGAAGACTTGTTTGCAAACTGCTGTGCTGCACTGCCTTCCATCGTTGCTTTAAGCGAGATGAAGTAGAGAATAAAGACGTAATGCAGGAAACTTTTTTGCAAGTATTGACCTGCAGTATCAACATCGATCTAAATCTCGTTGCGAGACGCAAGCGATTTGAGTTCCTGGCAAAACCGTTGCACCGGGAAGCCAATAACGTTGTTGCTGCAGCCGTGGACCTCCTTCACAAAACACCGCGCTCGACCTGTGGAAAAGAAGGTATCTGTCAAACCAGGCCTACCCACCCATTGCAGTTTTAAATGTTGCGTCTCACCCTGAAGCCCATAAGCTCCTGCTTTATCCATCGGCTCCCCCGTGGCAATGTAAACTGCAGGATGACCGAGTCAGCATAATTAATCAATCACAACACCAACGAACATAGACGCACAATGGATGTCTTCCGGTTCCAAGGGGCCAAACAGCAGACTGGTTTTCTCAAAAAACAAGTGCGGGTTGTCGATACCCCTCTCAGTAGTAAATATCGCCACACCCGAGAAAACCTCGTGGGGGCGATCTGAAAGTTTTGTCAACATATTGAAAGCGTCCTCCTTGTCTTTTGGTTTCTCCAAAATGACCCCGTCCTGTACCACGACAGTGTCGCATCCGATAATTACTGTAGAAAGCTCGGAATGTGCTTTCTCGTCACTAGACACACGATGCAGCACCTCTAGTGCCTTTTGCTTTGCATTCTCAATCACATAGAGATCAGGCGTTGGAAATTGTTCCTTGGACAAATTTTCCTCAAAAGAAGACGGGATCACCTCAAGGCTGAGCCCCTGAGTCAAAATGACAGTCAACTATCAACGTGATAGATCGGGTGGGATAATGTGTGAACTAGGACGTACGCAATCACGAAGAAGTTCAAGTCGACGAGGGCTTTGTGACGCAAGGATTACACGATGATAACGCAAGTGGTTCGATAAAGCAGACAACATTTGATAATAGGTATTGATTGAGCTGTATGAAGAACTTGGTCAGATAATTTTAGGAGATGTAAGGGAGAACCTCTAATGACTAAATACGAAATTCATCAGGTACTTCTCGCATGACAAATGACACTTCTACGACGCCGCATCAACACTAGCACGACTTGCAGAGCTAATATATCGACGATATGGTTGCATTTTGTTACAAGAGGAACGATTTCTGGTGCACCTCGAAAGCGGGTTCCACAAGCTCACGAGCTTGCAGTAAAGCATCACGTTGTAAATCTGCAGGTCCACTTACCAGTAACGCCACTTCTGCTTTCACGCCGAAGTTCTCGCGAATCTCCTTGTGCACAATGCGCAGTCGAAAACCCAAGTCAGGGCGCTCCTTCTCGATCAAGAAACGGCGACCAAGCAAAGACTGTGCTGGTGTTGGCATTGAACGTGGAGTGGAAGGAGGGGCGGGGCTCGGAATGTCTAAACCGACAACCTCCATCTCTCCCATTGCAACTTCCATGGTGACATTGTTTCCTTCAGTATCTTTGCGAGCATTCCAACGCTGCACTATATACAGTGCAAATGTAGCTCCAAGTACTGCCCCCAACGCACCAGCACCAAGCAACACCGCACGTCTCATGAATGACTTGGCTGAAAACATTTTTAGCTGGAACACCCACAGTATGAGCAGTACACAACCCAACCCCGTACCGAGAAATAAGGGCAGTCCCAGCATATAGTTATGACCTGAAAAAGCATGATGATGTAACGAGGCTGGATAGAAGCGCTGGCTACGTGGTACATTCTCTTCTGACAGGTCGTCCGGCTCCGTTTGAGTGTCATCATCTTCAGTGTCGTACCCAGCTTCATCTGTTCCAGCCTGCGTGAAATGTAACCAGACCTTGCATTTCCATCGCGAACAACGGTTCACTGCATCCAATAACTCTGCATACGCCTCTAGAAATTCCAAGTCACGACACGTCCAGACTACCCACAAGGTGCGTGGCAGTTCCGAATCGTCCGTCGACATCTCTTCTCGGTCACTAATATCGGCAAGAGCCTTCAAATGGTCTAGAATACTAAGGAACGGTGTCATACCGCTACCTCCTGCAATAAACACCATGTGTGGAGCACACTTAATTTCAGAGCCATAGTATCCATCCACATGAACCGTATGAAGCTGCTGCATTTTCATAAGAGTCAACAATTGCGACGTAAAAGGTCCTTGCACCTTAGCATCCAAGAAAAAAGAGTGGCGATTACGCAGAGGGCTGGAACTTATAGTGAATGGATGCCACTCTTTTCCAATCGAATCCACCTTTATATACACATATTGTCCCGGCAAAAAGTCGGATCCGACATTTGGTACTCGTCTCAGTTCCAATTGAATAATTTTATTACTCATTGCAGTCGTTGACACGACACTGGCCTTTCCACGTCCAAATACAGAAACCGCTCGATAAATACCATAGAGTATAATTGCCGGTACCATCCAAAACAACGCGGGATAATAGTGCAAAGTCGTAAAAATTACGGAAAATGCACTTAAACAATGCAACACAATAAAACGTTGAAAATATCGACGTCGTACCCACTCCATTGACGAAACGGCAACAATGAACAGTGGTACCATTGCTATTGCTCCAGAAAAATTTCGAATCGATCCGTAACGTCGTTTAGGTGAACAAGTTTCATCCAGACATGGAAAAAGCTTTTCTTCCACTTTGCCTTCCTTGTACCAGGTGCCAGTATACAATACTCCATGAAGCAGTAAGCATGAAAAGGCCAAATTGACCCGTTAAAACATGGTATCGGGCAGCACGTTCACCAGATAATCCAAAAACCTTGTGCAAAAATGACTGTCGGGCCACGAGAATCACGGATATAACCATTGCATAAAGCCCATTCATGCCAAAAGCACGACCTGTCCGGATTAAATAGCCCGCTTTTTCCAGTTTCCCGCTCTCTTTGTCAGCTATCAACTTGCCTATTACAAGATTAAGTTGCAGTAGCAAAAAGCCACCGACGACAATTACGTCAATTGCATCAAAGCCAAAACGTTTACCGATATTGGGATGGGCTTTCAGCCACGTGACAAGCTTAAGTTGCGGGCCCCCATCAGCCAATGTACCAATAGTATCTTGTTTCCAATAAAAAATCGTTCCAGCAAAGAGAAACGGCAACACCAAAGCAAAGGAAACGACAACTGGTTCGACTTCCATTTTTTTCCCTACACGCGTTTCTAATGACGGAAACACTTCACGATAATAAATCGGCCAGCGAATCCAAAATAGAGCAAAAAAATCCATACAATACAAAAGTAAAGTAAAACTTTGGCAATGCTATTGCAACGGGTCTTTGATAAAAGTTCGAGTGCCGACGCCTTTTGTGCTTTGGGCAAAAACCGCATACCGCTGCGTTTGGGAGGCGTACGGATGGCAAGAAGACGGTTGAGCTCGATCTCATTTAGTTTTTCATGATCCAATAGAAGATCGAGGTCTGCGTCAGTGTCTGGAGAGTGCGAAGGTACCGTCACGGTTCGGCGGCGCTCCATGTCTACGCTCATAAATGTTTATTTTTACCGAATAATAATCATTTTAAGAGACTTTTGTTTCGACCAATCATAGTGGGTCGGTATTTTAAGGGTAGAGCAAGTGTAAAATAGATCATCTGGTAACCCCTTAAACTTGGTATGTTTCCTACAAATTGTGATACAAAGTCTCGGTTTTATAAACGTTTCTATACATCTTTTACGTCACATTTTAGTTACACCAAATACGCAAATACTTTGCTTATCAACTTATAATGTTATTAGAACGTGCGCATCCAGACGTAGCTCTTCCTTTAGTCCTTCATTATGAAGCCACTGATGTACTTGCTTCAATACGCGTGCTTGTCATTGGTGATGTACATGGTTGTTATGATGAATTACAATTACTGCTTCAAGTCTGTCAATACTCTTCACCCAATGACCGTCTAGTGTTCGTAGGAGACCTAGTTAATAAAGGTCCCAAGTCGCTGGAAGTTGTGCGCTTTGTACGTGACTCTGGCTCGCTCTGTGTACGTGGAAACCACGAAGATGCTGCTTTGAGTGCGTACTACAATTGGGTACATGGTGGACGCGTCCCTGGTACAGCCAAGTATCCGTACGTGGAGCTCATGGAAACCGACGATGTCGAATTCCTCGAGCAACTGCCATTTTCACTGTCGTTGCCACATCACAATAATGTCATTGTGGTACATGCTGGAGTAGTGCCAGAGGTGGAGATAAAGGACCAACGACCTTTTGACTTGTACAAGATACGCTTGGTGCAACGTGAGAAAGCAGAGGATGAGAAGTCAAAGTGGAAACCACTAGAGAAGGAGAAATTCAAGAGTAAAGAGGGTGGGAAACCCAAGAGATGGGCCGAGATGTGGAGCGGACCCAGGCACGTGTACTTTGGACATGCAGCGGGTGCTGGGCTTCAGGTGAGTAGGGTGATTGAAATGGAAAGAGAGATTTAGTGCTCACTGTTGCGTGTTACGTGTTGGATTGTTGGGGTAGCAAGAGAGCTTTGCTACAGGTTTGGACACAGGCTGCTGCTATGGACGGAAGCTCACGGCGTGTATCATTCCGGTAAAATGGTTGATAGACGAATATTGGGTGCTGCTTGCTGATTGACGTTGTGATGTGGTGGCAGTTGAACAAATTCATGCAGGTTCATGCAAAGAAACAGTACGAAGTGCTGAGTGGCGACAAGAACTGACAGCAGCGTATACAACCAACTTTGTCAGATTTACACAACAGCAAGCATGTCTTCTACTTTCACCACACTGTACTCCATACCAGTCCACTCCGTACGACAATTACGATAACAATGCACACAATACTGCATCGCGCTGCTCAAGCTTTCGCTAACTTCCGCTTCATACCGCAGCAGCGTCGTGCAGTTCGGCTCCTTGTTATAAAGTCTCACATTTGAAAGATAAAAAGTCGTCACAGCATATGTATGCTCTCCTGAGCAAACACCATTTCTTCGTACTTTGTCGTATAGAGAAGTACGAACGCATTCAATCTCTAAAAGTTGGACGCAGGATGCTAAAGCACACCCATATCATCCAGCTCGGGACAATTGGTAGCAAAAACTATGTAGCACAACACGTGCCAGTGTTTTGCCATTCAACCTCTGCTCGTCACATCACGTGCTTTTAAGCACGTTGTATCAGCTTACGAAGAACTAAAGGCTCTATCGCTTGTCATTTGATCATTTATTAACGTTATTTCAATGCGTCGCAAGTTTGTGGCTAGGATCTCATACAGATACTTATAAAAGTACTGAAATATCGTATTTGTGAACTACCATATCAATACCGACACTATCGGTATCGATAACTGTATTTATACGGCTACCACTTGTTAATTTGGGTATAGAAAGTATGGTAGTAAGACTACGCTTGGCTCGTTGGGGACGGAAAGACGTGCCGTTTTACCGTATTGTAGCAGCGGATGCTCGTGCTCCACGTGATGGCAAACACCTTGAGATTGTAGGACTGCAGCATGAAAATTTCCCAGAACATTTATTAGCAAAAAAACAGTTTCTAACGAATGACGTCTTTTTGCGTGATCTTTTAGCTTGGCACGTTCAACCCGATTGCCGCAAGTGATGGTATTAAGGAGATACGTGTGAATAATCAACGTGTGCGGTATTGGATGTCAGTGGGTGCACAGCCTTCTGATCGTGTGGCGCATCTTTTAGGACTGGCTAACGTCCTGCCTATGCCTCCCACTCGTCAGTATACTAAGAAAAGTGTACCCAAGAAGGACCGCGTGGCCAAGTAGAGGAACATGAACAATTGGTAGCGATGACATGAAGATTGATACCAAAAATACACTTTCTTACCTGGACGACGTGCTTAGCAAGACTTGGAATGTGTGTGAAGTTTCAATGACGGCATTGATTTTAGTTTCCCTTAATGTCTTTCAACAGCTTTAGCAAACTCATGTAGCAGTAGGTAAAAGTTAGAAAGAGTTTATTTGAATGATGACAGCGTAGTAGATCAAACAGGGAACTCAATACTGACGCACCGCTACATGATGAACTATCAACCAGCAAAAGACGCGGCAATGTAATGTAACACGCTTGTGCAGACGCTTAAATAAACCTAAGCAAGCAACTCGCGCATTACCATGCCTGTAGTGTTGGGCTAACGTGTACATGGTCTTTGCAAGCAAGTCATGCTGCACGAAACACAACAACATGATACGCATGGTTAGCTCAAGCACACAGCTCATGCTTCTGTGCAGCATATCGTGTTGTAAAGATTAGGAACTATCGCACAGTCACCGCGAGAAAACGCTTCATTTTGATCTGGTTTTCCATACTCAGTCGTGGGTTCAAGTATGTCACAATGCGCTTCAAGATAAGCTACACTTCTCGTGAAAAATTCGTGCGTGCTTTTTGAAAAGTGTTGCCAACTCTTCAGAAGACTTTGCAGTGAAACACGAATGGAACCTCACCTCAACTCCTTGCAACCGCTTTTGCTTTTCCATTTAGTTGTCGCTTTGGGCCTTTATCTCCTCTTTCAGTGCTTCTTCCATTTTCAGCTTGTCTTTTAATGTACAAACTCTTTACAGATTCCGCCTCGGATTCTCCCTCCTCGCTCTCATCCAGTTCCTCATTATCATCTCCATCCTCGGCGTCTCCCTCCGCCTTTTCTTCTTTGGCATTGGCACAAACGATTTTCAACCACGTAAACGTCAGTCAGATCGTCTGCGTCGTCACTGTCAATGTCATCAGCATCAGCGCCGTGCATACGCAACACACATTCCTTTTCAAATTGAGCATGACAGTCACGTTCCTTCGCAGCAGCCTCCTTCGGCAACATTCGTCGCTCCGTTGCCTTGGCCTCAAGTTCCGCGTCTTTTTGTCAAGCCGTCCATCGACTCCGGTAACACTCCCTTGCCATTGGCAAACTCAAGCAGTCCACGCCGAACCTCAAACCCTTCAGCCCATTTGTCCGTAGCATCTTCCTGCGAGTTTTCGCTTCTCTGCCGCTCCGCCTTGTACAGTTATGCCTTCATCATGACTTCCTGCATCACTTTTTTGTATGTCATCACCTTCCTCAATTTCTGGTGCATCAGCGTCTCCTTTGCCACCTACGAAGTGGAGTTTGCTGACACTGTCCCTGTGCATCTTCCTACCTTCCTCCGAGTCATCTTCCTCGTCTGATAACCCAATCGTAGTCATCGTCGATAATTCTTGCCCCTTTGTGCATTAAGAATGGCATATCATCGTGTTCTTTTTGCTCCGAGTCTGAGTCGTGTAGTGCAAACGCCGACGTGTTGCGCATTTGCGCTTGCGATCCGTCTGAAACCGAGCCATCATCTTATCCTTTATGAACCGTATCGGATCCTATTCGCCAAGACGCTTGTCCTTAACGCGTTGCTCTTGTTGCGGGCCTTAGACGCAGCGCTGAGCGAGCGTCTTGTAACGCTTGCATTCGACTTTAGCACGCGCGGCCGGCTTATACCTTTCATCGGACAACCAATGACCTCGAGCTTGCTTGGTGGCGTTGCTCCGCGCGTCAAACGAATCACCGTGAGGTCTAGCGCGCGCACGAAGACGTACTTCTGCTTCTTCCGAGTAGACATTTGTTACCGCCGCTTACCATGACAAGAGAGCGAGAGAGAAACAAGTACGGTTAAGAGATTTGCACAACTTCGACGGCCAACACCAGGTCAGACGAGAAAGGATCACGGCTAGAATGCAGATGGGTAAAAGTAGTACTAAGGCACATCATTGGCGAAGGCTAGACTGATCATAAAACAGGATGGCGGTGATCTTTCCGGCAGAGTATCGGCCACTTGAGCGAACCAAGCCTGTATAGTAGTTAACCTGTCGTGTACATATGCAGAAATAAAAGATGCATACCTTGCATTGCTGAGACTACCTTTACAATTGAATTGCCAATCCCATTCGACAAGTTCACATGTGTAAATCAAACACACATCATTTCTGTCATAATATGGATGAGGCGCCAACTTGTCTTTGTTCTACAGAAGACGTTTCTGTTGGCTGTCCTGTGTCGACAAGATTGGCTAGACAGAGCACTAAGCTGAGACATTCTTCCTTAACTACGGACATACCAATTCGCCAAAGCCAGCTGCGCCATGACTAGAGGTGGTACCCATGAGTCTGGGTTGGGTAATTGCGTTTACCCACGACTCAGACTCATTCAAATTTCATTACCCACGACTTGGACTCATACCCGCGGGTAATAACCCATGTTACCCGCGCAATAAACATGCGGACTATTAAACAATATGAAAGGGAGAAAAGCATAATGAAAATTGGTAATAAAAGTATCCACACTCTACGTCTCCCACTGGGAAGTTCAAGCGAGCTGACAAAGGAAAAAACTAGTCTTTTGCCGACAAAGAAATGTGACCCTGTGTCCTTATCCAATCCTTGAGGCACAGAAGCCTCTCCAAGCTTTTATGGGAAAGCGAAGTTCTGTTCTACCTGTAAGTCTTTTTACCTTGAGAGAAACCTATCTCAGACGGAGTTGAAGACGCGGGGATGGCCAGATAAAATCTCGCCATCCTTGCAAGCGTCGAGAATTGCAGCTGATGCAGTGCTCACCACTCCAATGGCAATTAATATATGTGAACAGGCGAAAGAGCAAAATAAGTTTGAGCTTTTTCCTCGACTTTGCTCACTGCGGTCTGTAGAACTCTGCCTTCAGCAGATGCGAAGACGTCTGGCTCCATGTCTTCATCGCTCTTGTCGTTACAAATGTTGACAGGTGGCGGAAGCGGGATTTCTTCTAATGACTTCTGATGACTGTATGCTCTATCCACAAAAAGCAACTCAATTGCTTGTGGGCTATGGCCAAGAGCCCAAAATTGCTTTGGCCCTTCGCTGAGGTTTCTAAACCAGCTAATATTCCATCTTGGATCTAACACCGTCGCAAAGAAGTTTGCATCCTGTTTAAACGCCATCTTGATATATTTCTTGAGTTTGGGTAGCATGGCCTGCGCCACCGGCTCCAGTTGCTTTGCATCATATGTGCGGTATACTTTCACCAAAAAAGGCGTAATGAGTCATTAATACATTAAACAATTAGAAATCAATACGAGCAGGTGTGTCTGATGTATGTCCCAAAAATTTGGTACATTTACCCATGGGTACCCATGGGTAAGTTGGTTAATTGAGGCCAATTACCCATACCCAACCCATGAGTCAGGGTATGGGTAATTACCCACTGAGTCTGAGTCTAGCCATGACTCTGACGGAGGTATGTCGTTGGTTGTCATACTCGGCTCATCCATGCGGATGATAAACGGTCCATATCTGGCTTTCAAAGTGACCCACCACCTTTCAACAAAGCACTCTTATACAAACATGGTAATCGTTTATTTTGCTTTGAAGGGCGACATTTGCCGCCCTTCAGAAGCAGTTGCTGTGAATCGAGATGGCATATGGCTTTTAACCCACCACTTTTCAAATAAATATTTTTTTGCAGATATTCGTTTTGAAGGCTATGTGAACTTGCGTTTAGACACAGCAAAATTCAATTGGAACTATTTGTTTAAGTGTTTAATTACTACGCACCATCAGTCTGCCTTACGGAGGTGAATACTAATGCAAATTGCAGGACGGCTGGTTATCTCCATAGTAGAAAAAGTACAAGAATAACATGAGCAAACAATAAATACAGTAGAATAACAAGTGCTTCTCGTAAACTGACTTCATTCAAATGTACGACAGATAGTAAACCGTATCGCTGGCAATTCGAGAGATTCATACCTACTGACGTCACTTTCCAATATCCTCGATCAGCATAAAAACTCTGCCAAGCCATCTACAATAATGCACCTTCACTTTACCACGCTATGTGTGGCTGTTGCTGTCTGTCGAGTCGCTGATTCACATGCAGCGCCATCTCACGACATGCCCAGATCACCTCACTCTCTACCTGGAGTCTCCAACAAGAGACATTTGAGGTCGGACAAGATTGCAGCCGACGAAGGAGAGAGGGGTGATTCTCCTAGCAACATACTAAGTGAGTTATTCAAGAAAAGACTGAAGGTCAACTCAGTTTTTGGGCAGAATTTTTTAATGAATACGAAACCGAAGCAGATTAACTTACTATGAACAAAAAGAAAAAGTTGGAAGAAATGAAACAACTCAAGTTGCTGAAGGAGCAGAATGAGAAAGATGTACAACTTAAGCTGCAGGAAAAGAAAGGCAAACTCCTTAATTTGATGGAGGAGATTAAGTGGGCTGCGTCGTTCACAATTGAACTGAAGAAGGCCAAAACTAATGTACTGAAAGAAATGCTGATTAGCCGGACAAATACACCGGACAAGTTGACGTATGACGAAAAGAAGAACCTCAAAGAATTGCTGGAAGGCTGGAACCCAACAGCGTCCGAAAGTGAGTCGAAGTCCAGCACTGAAGGTTTTAAGGCTTGGCTTGAAAATGAAGAATTACCAGACAAACTATTTACTGTGCTGGGGATTCACAAAGCGGGGGACAAACTGGCAAACAATTTTTTGATTAGCATGAATTTGGAAAGGTGGAATTTTGTCATGAATTTTTTGGACGAAACGGGCCACTACAACTTTGAAGATAAGCTTACAGAAACTCTCACAGCTTTTTGCAGAGATAATAATCGGGCTACACTCTTCTTGGAACGTCTCGTGATTCTAACAGAGCAAACCGATCTTGGTCAGTTGAAGTGGCTGCATGAGAAGATTGAACCAAAAGAAGTTTTCAACCGGATGAAGATTCCCGACAAAAATCATTTTTATAAGGTACCAAATTTGGCAAAATG